AAATCCTAAACTGCCTTGTTAGCAAACAAATATGAATATGATATCCCTTGCAATATTGTTTTCCCTTCAATGTTTTCTTGCCATGCTCAAACCTGAGCAGTTATGCTGTCTTTGGGAATGCTGAGAAGCACCTTCTGTGTTTATATCTCCCCTGGGAGACTCTGAAAAATACACCTGGAGCACTGTGTTTCAAGTTTCACAAATGCTCAGGGCAAGTACCTTGGTGAAGGCTCTTCAAAGTCAGTTTTATCAAGGTCAGTGTCATAAGTGCAATGAGGCTGAGGGTGGGGGGAGTGGGTCAGGATGGGGACACATGACCACCACCATTTTAAAGGGAAATCAAAAGATAACAATATTAACAACAAAAAGAATAGGATGGAAAGGATGGATTAATGCCTATGCAATATTATTTTAGGGATCTTCAAACAAGCTTCTAGGTCTATCCCACAGAGCTTATCAGTGAAATATTAAGTCAGATCTGAAACAACATATCTGCATATTAAACCACAATTTACATCTAATCCTTGAAGAAGATGTAAAAGTAAAACTAACTTTACAAAAAACTGTTATAATTAAATTTAAGGAAGAATTTTTTTTTTTCTGGTAGTTTAAGACCACACAAAGGTAATGTGAGAAAGTATTGATGGGCTGAAAAAGAGAATTTTTAGCATGAATGTATGGGACAACAGCAAACTGTACTTAGCTGCTGCTCTCCCTGCAAAGCTGATTTGTAAATGTTTTTTCCAGCATTAAATGAGAAAGAACCCTGCTTTGCAATTGCCCAGCTCAATAATCATCTTTATTTTAAACTTGAAAAAGCAGATATGCTCTCAATTACTGTTTTCCTTTGGTAGGGTTTTAACGTATCCTTGTATTCCCATCTATAGGTTCCATACTCACAGCTTCATTAGAATGGATTACATGCATTTTGTTAATACCAAGCATAACACATCTCTTACAGAGTACTTAAAAATTATTCCTTTTCAAGTAATGAAAATTTCTTTTCTCTTCCATGTCCCAATATCCTCTGTTTAACTCAAAAATTATTCTCAAACAACTCTTAATAATAACAACATTTAAACTTTGAAAATGAAGTGCAAGAACAAATTACAATATAAAATTACCTTTAGATAAGAAATCTGAGCAGATACCTACAGGGCATGAATCCTGAGGAAACAGCCCTGAGTAAATATCTGCTGAAGGGAAGCAAATGACTTGCAGAACTCACCTGCCATTCCCTCAGCTTATTAGAATTGCATACAACTTCTACTTTGTTCTTCAAGGATGTCCAAGTCACATCAATCATAAAAAGAAGAAACCCAGCAATCTTTTTGTGCTGTCAGCTGAAATTTGAGAGAAGGGAGAGGTACTTAGCAGTTGTTATTAATACCTGTAAAGTTGTCAAACGAATTAACTGGTTCCTATAATATATGTCTGTCTAATGCCAGAGTTCCTACTCAACGTGGGTGTAATTATGGGAGGAGATACCAAAATTATTTACTCAGAGGAAATGCATGCTCTTGAATCCCAAGTCAAGAAGAACTTCCTACAAAGATAATAGGTGTGCCATGAATAAGTTATCTTTAAGGATGAGGAAATGGGGAGCGTGGTGGGATGTAAAAGCTGTCTGAAGGAAAAAGGAGCATTTCCTGATGACATAACTTCCAAGTTGGTTAATGTCACTTCTGGGTTTGTCCAATAGCTGTGGGTTGGTTTCAGTTCAGAGGATTTTTTCTTTGGTCTAATATTATCTCAAATAACCTCTGACAAATAGAATTAAAAGCTCCCACTAGAAACAAGTATCTGTTTACCTGTTTATCTGTTTACCTGTTAAGTTAGCTCCATATATTAGTATTTCCCAAAAGTTTTATTTCAAAAAGAACACAAAACTAATAACCTTGAGTACTTTTTTTCAGCAAAAACTTTAAGCCTGTCTATTTTAACAACCATGATTATATTTCTTTTGGGGTTTATGAATATATTTATTTTTGGTGTTGTGCCATCACCTTGTAAAAGAGTACGAGTAATAAAATTATGTCGTTTTGAAGAGGATTATCTGCTTAAGATTCTGCAGCCCCACTGATCATGTTTTAGCACTCAGTAAAGACTTTAAAATAAATTAGTCTGAATTTTAAGTTACAGAGAAAGAAAAACCAACTGAAATAGCAAAAGTTAAGCTCCAGCAGCTGTTTTTTAAGGTTGATTTTACAAGATAGCCTTCTTTGTACCTTTTTGAGAAACTTTGCTTTCCTATCACAAAGACCAAGAGTCCTTACTAATGTGACAGTCATGCTAGCCCTATCCCAAAGCTTCTCCCACTAGGCAGTGGCACACCTGGCACAGCACATCTCCACTTACATTATAATTCAGCGGTTCTTCCTTCCCTTGGAAGCTTCCAGGATGTTCAGGCTGCCAAGGCTTCTTCCGGGAATCACCTCAAATGGGTTTGATTGCTGTCCAGAGCTACTTCAGTTGGTCTTTTTCTCTTTTCCTTAATTCATATTCCTTGGAAACCATAAGAGCCACAAGCCTCTGATGTTCCCCGGTCCTCACACACGGCCCTAGTGACAAACCGCATCGACCAGTTCTTAAGTTCAGGCTCTGAGTACTTACAGTGATTGCCTCAGATGTTACACATTGCTCCCACTGGCATTTGACTGTTTCCTTTCTTCTTCCTTGCTGCTCATACACGTAATTAAGTCTCAGAACACTTTTTCTGTCTTGGCTGCAACCACCTCCTTTACCTCTGCAAGGCACGCCCACAGTGGTGCTCACCGAGCCACCAGAACCTCTCTCAGACTGGCCTACATCCCAAACTGGCACCTGCCAGTCTCACCTTCACCACAGCAAAGCAGCAGCAGCTGCTGTTGCAATCCCTTTGGAATGCAGCAGTCATGGTTCCTAAGTGACTAATGACTGAACGTTGTCACAGGTGTTTTTCCTAGCTCAATGCCACCCACCCGTCATCCAAAATGGTTCAAAATACTTTGTTCCTATTTTCGCCTTGTATCAGTCTTGGAATTGCAGTTCAATTTGCTAACTTTCAGAGAAAAACTTTTAGATTTTATTTATCTCCTTTATAATTTTGTCTACTGTTCATATCCCCAGAGCAACTAACTCCATCTTATAATTGTCTTGTTACTACTTTTTGCTACAAAGAGGAAAGCAATTTAAATTCCAAAAAACCCAAAAACAAAAACAAAAAAAACCAAAAAAACCCAACAAAAACCCATTGCAGAATCTCCTCCTTAAGACTGTATTGGAGTTGTCTTTTACTCACACTCATTCACTTCATGTGCAGTGAGTGTTGCTGGGGAGGGTCTGATTTGAAGGTTTCATTTCTGCTCGTGCAATTCACTTGACTTTAGCAAAATCTGTGTTTCACACACACAAGAGATGTAAAAAGAAGTCATTTCATGTATATCTACATTCTAAACTCAAGGCTGTGCTTGAGCTTGAACTTCTATTGTGGTTTACTGTAGCCCAAAGGAGACCACCAAGATAATTAGAGGGATGGAGCTCCTCTCCTGTGAGGAAATCTGAGGGAATTGGGTTTCTTCAGCCTGGAAAAGAGAATTTGGGTGATCTAATTGTGGCCTGCCAGTACCTGAAGAGCCTACCAGGAAGATGGAGAGATACTTGTTACAAGGGTGTGGTGTGACAGGACAACGGGAATGGCTTCAAACTGACACAGACTAGGTTTAGATTGGATATTAGGAATAAAATCTTCCCCGTGAAGATTTTATTTTTTTGCCTTGGCATAGGTTGCCCAGAGGAGCTGTGGCTGCCCCATCCCTGGAAATGTTCAAGGCCAGCTTGAATGGGGCTCTGAGAAACCTGGTCTGGTGAGAATTGTCCCTGCCCACAACAGGGGGATTGGAGCCAGATTAACTTTGGGGCTCCTTCCAACCCAAGCCATTGCATGAATCTGTGATTTACACAAAGAAAGCTCTTGGCAAGCCTTGAGAAACAGCAGGAGAAAAGAGGAGGAACCACTGTGGGCTCCTTGCACAGCCTCTCTGTAGCTCATCCCATCTGATGTCCAGTGTGGTCTCATACTGACATCCTGTGATGGCAGCAGGAAACCAGGCTGCCTGCAGGTGCCCTGCTACAGCAATTTTGCTGGCTACAAGGACAAAAGAGCTTTATAGCCAGTCTGCTCTTGTGCTCCTGAACGGTGAGAAGCCCTCATGACAGCTCACAGTACCCTGTTTAGGGTGGAAGCTGGGGCACAGAGTTAAGCTTTTATTGCTTCCTGGCCCAACAGTGCCAGAGCAGCAGCTTGTCTTTCCATCCATTTTACCTACATAGTCATTTTCAGTCAGAGCCTGACTTACTGTTACACAGTTACTGCCCATAAACCAAGTCACTCACTGGGCTACACCTACTCCACTGGAACCCATCATTTAGCCTGTACCAGTCTCCCATAAAAGGTTGAAGTTTGATTTACTAAACTCAAATCTAAGAGATGACTTCCTGACACATCACCTATAGTAAAGAATTCCTAACTCTCCTCAAATAAAAATACACCCAGATTTAAGATTGCCCTGCCTTTTATTCCCAAAGAAGACTTTCAGCAAGTGCAAAATATCAACAATCTAAAATATGTACAAAATATGTACGCTGAGCTGGGCAATTACCCCCGTGTTTGTTGAATGGCTCTCAAATTGGACACCACCCAAATTCCTGTTGAACATTTCCTATGCCTCATTTGGACACTGTGATTTACCAACAAAAAAAAAAAAAAAAGGAAACTGTCAGGACAGTTTGTAGCAAAGAAGACAAAACTAAATGACAGAAATCATGCAAGTCATCCTCACTATGTTGTAGTATCACATTTTCAGTAAGGAGAAATATTTTGGAAGTGTTTGGAAGTCCACTGGATAATGCTTTCAATAAGTAACAATGAGTTTATGAATGTGTGTGCAGAGGCATCTGGAGCCAGGAGGAATTCATTCCAAAGAAAGCCAGACATAACTCAAAGAGTCTCTAAGTAGAAGGCAAAATGTTCTTTTTAATAACATGGATATTCACAACAGTAAATGAACAATCAACCATTCCTCAGTTTATTTAAAATTACAATGTAAAATTGCAATTATATGGTGTCGGTGACCCTTTATCAGAGGAAGTGAAGATTTGTTTTGCTGATCATCTCATTGTTTTCTATACAAGATTTGTTATCATATTTTGTTCAGTTTATACACACACAGACCACTCCTTGTATATCTTCATGTTAGTTAATCACATTTACCATCTTAAAGGTCTTAATATCTGCAAATTTATCACAGGAGAAATTAACAAGTAGATGTTTGGGACCCGCCTCAGAAGGGATAAGTTTAAACTTGGTACTGGATTTCTCACTGGCTTTCAGTGGTGGTATGCTAAAAAAAAAGGAAACAGAGGGAAAATATAAGTTGAAAACAGGCTTATGCATCATGCTTAGTTTCTTCACTAATCATCTTCCACCTACTTTGAAGTGATAAGAGTTCTTACTCTTATCACTTCAAAGTAAGATGGCCATGAAAAGATCACACATGGCTTGACTATCTGATAAGTATTTAAAGACTCAAATCCATACATTAAAGGCTCTCCCAAATTAATTATGCAGTAACCCAGATAAGCCCACAAAGGGGGACATAATAATAAATGAGATCTAAGATTTCATGCAGAATAGAGGGTGTAAAACACATCACTGAATCATTGCAAAAGAATAATCAGAGACCATGCAGAATGTTAATACCAACTCTTGAATTAGAATGGAGTATAGCACCAAGGAAACCTCCGTGTTTACAGAGCAGGAAATTCTGAATGGAAGTTAAAATGTTTTACACCAGTGTGTTTTGTAACTCTTGGAAACTTGTTAATGTTTTTCCCTTACCCTGACATATTGTCTTGTCTTGCCTGAGGATAAAATTATGTGGTAGAGACAACAGGAGGTTGGTAAATTCCCTCAGGAGAACTTATAAATGATGGGATGAACCCTTCCTAATTGCTCAAGTGCAAATGGCAATGTTAAGTTGCTGTGTTTGTTTGTGTTTGTCTGTGCATTCAGCTAAAGACCATGTTCCTATATCCCAGGTATTTTCCAGAAATAACTGCATTTGTGAGGATATGTTGAAATTTTTGTGCAATTTCTTGTCCGTACAAAATGAGGGACAGTCTGAAAATTTAATCTTTCTGTTTCAATTATGAAATACTGAAGGGAAAAGGGCAGGAAAAGTTACAAAATCACCAAAGCAGATAATAGGGAACTGGGATCGACAGTGAAAAAAAAAAAAAAAAAAAGGTATCTTATTCCAGAATTCTCAATCACTATCTCAACATCATCAAATAGTTTCTTGACACTGTGATCTGCTGTATCTGGAAAAGCTGAGCATGGAGCAGACCTGGCTTTGTGCTTTTCAGAGGTCCCACCCTTTGAGATCACAACCTGTGTCTAAGCAGTGCTAATTTTTGTTCCCAAAGTTGAGACACTGCTGTATCTGCTTTTTACATGTATTTCTATCTGTTGGATATAAATACAATTTATTTACAATGCTCTGTACCCAGATTGGCACCTGCAGTCCATTTAATACAGTGAAAAAAATATCCTGGTTTAAATATGTTGTATTTTGGGTAAGTGTGGACAGAAATAGCCGTGTATCCTATTGTTGGCCTCTGATCAAACAAGAAGGTGCAACCTCTCTGTCCTACAGCAGGACAGACAGCTTCAGCAACATTTACAGCTTGGGTAAGCATGATTTTTTTCTCTGGAAGTGTGTGGTCCTGCTAGATAGGCAGGAAAACAAGTTCTATCCAATTATGACAGCAATTATTTGACCTCCCAAACCATGGAGCCAAAGCCCAGCCTAGATGAAGAGCTGGTTCATCACTGTGTGCTCATAATCTGTGCCTCCCAGGTTACAGCTAGAAGAAAATGATGTCTCATCCCACAATTCAGTTCCAACTCATCCATGCCCACATTCTTGTTTGATAGCAGCAGATGTTTCTGGTACTCACCGTAGCTCCAGGATCCCTTGGAGCAGGTCACTGCCCTCCACCTGCAGCACGCAGTCCTTCACCTCCTCATTGATGGGATTGGTAAATGCCACCTCCACTAACACCTCTTTATTCACTTTTGCTTCACCAAGCACCTGTGCAAAGAAAATGCTGGTGAGGCCAGGTTCTCAGTGCTCTTTTCTAGCTGAGCCTTTTCAGGCATCAGGAGAGGAGCTATTGTGAGGGGCTGTGATGAACCATGGCAGAATTTCTGAATGTGAGCAGAGCATTTCATTTAGGGCAGAAAGTGCTCTCAAAGAACTCACTCTCCCTTTTCTCTGTCACTGCAGTTACAACAAAGGGAATTTACCTGTATGTCAATGTCAGGATTGTCCAGGATGATGTTTCTTTTCACAAGCACTTGAATGCCATCTTTTACATGACATAATGCTGTGACCTGGATTGTTTTGTCTGTAGTTAACTGCTGCTGGTATTCAGGATACTTTATCTTAATGGGAAATTGTTTTTCTAGAAGGAAAAAAAATGAATTGTTACACACCTTTATAAACCCACGGAGCTTCATATCTAAAATTAGTATTTTCCTTTTATGCTGTGACTAGGACTAGGAGGGCTTTCAGCCATCACTACCAATATTAATTAATTAATGCAAATCTATCAGTTTGCTTTAGAGAGATAGTGATTTCTTTAATGTTATCCCTTCTCCATTCACTACTACTGTATTGCCTGGCTTCTTTTCCCCCCCTATTGCTCTGAAAGATGCAACAGCTGGAGTTTAAGGAGTTTACTGGTGCCTCTCCAGAAGTTAAATTACCTACTAAAAAAATGAATTATTTCTGCTTCTCGCTAATGACTTGAAGCCTAAGATTAGTATAAGACAGTATCAATTGTGATTCAATGATCTTTCACTTCATGCTGGAGATGCTGACATATCTCTTATCCCAGGCTCCTAATGGTAACATTTTCCAAAATGTGAAAAGCACTTGGGGAGATGATAGTGTGAAACATGCCTTGTTAATTCATGTGTAATGTAATATTTTTCTCAGCTTCTTCTACCCAGGGATTTAGGATTGCAGTTTGTTAGAGCTTTTTCCCCCAAGCTGAGCAGCCTCCGTTGCCCCTTTACAGATAAAACCATTATGATTAAAAGGTATTTGAAAAATTACCTTCCTTTGGGGCCAGAGTGACAGATATGGAGTCCTTCCAGATCTGATTAACTCGTCTTCTAGTATACAGAGTACTCCATGCAGTCATATTTACATTTACAGTCTTAGCATCAGACTGCAAATTTTCAAGAACCAGAAGTAGGTTGAGGTCTTTGCCAACTTCTAAAGAGCCAGCCACCTTGAATTTTCCTGAGATGTCAGGCTTCTGTTCAACTTCCTCCTGTTTTGGTGCTGTAGGATCAAATTTATCCTCAAGTCCTAGCTTCTTACGGGCTTTTTTAAAAATTTCTCTTTCTTTTGCAGAGCCTGTCAGGGAGAACCATGGAAATTATCCTCAACAGTTAATATGCATTTCTTATATTACATGGCTGCTAGAGAGAAGCTAGCCAAGACATAGTGTCTGTGCTTAGAGATAAACAAGCCCTCTGTTTTCCACAGCCATACCTTATTTTCTGCATCTGAAGTCAGTAACATCACTCTCCTTCTTATAACATTTTTTCAAACATAAAGCCTTAACTCTAAAGTTTCTCTTTTCCCATTTCGATCCTTTTTTATGGCTATAACATTTAGAAGTGAATTCTTATTTGGTAGCACAGAGAAAGGCCCAAATTTTGGGGAAGGCTGATGGCACTGTGGGGTGGGTTGGCTGGCAGCCAACCATCCACCCAGCCCCTCACTCCCCTTTTCCATAGGAGGGGAGAAGCCTTGTGGGTTGAGGTAATGACAGTTTAACAAAAGCAGAAGCTGCTCATGAGCAAAGGAAAAAGAGAAACATATCATGGGGATGATCAGACCTGAAGGACTGAGAAGGTGCTGTGCTCTTGCACCCTTTGAAAGAGTTGCTTTTCCTGGGCCTAAGTGCTGATTTAGCTCAGGTTTCTGCAACAGACCTTTTATCCTACAGATAAATATTTGGGCTGTAGCATAATTCTCACTAAGCAGAGGCAGACAGTGCATGTCAGCAACAGGCAAATGGTACAGTGAACACTTTATCTATTTAACTATTTAATTATATCTATTTAACACTTCATGGAACAGTGAATCACTTTGGGGATACTTGGACTTGACTTATTTAGATCCCACAAAGCAGCTCTATATCAGAAAGGGCAAGGCAGTTGTTTAATTTTTTTACTCAGTACCTTTTCTTCCCTTTTGTGTAGGAATTGAATAAATCAATTATAAATTCTGCTCCTGCTTTATAAATGCATTAAGAGACTCCTAACTGAAAAGTTATATATTTTTGGGAATGAAGCAACTATGTGATCAGAAGAACCAGTGGTTTTACTTACCTTCCTCATATTTATAATCTCTGGTGACATCTACACGAGCATCTCTACCAACTGCCTTTGTACTGATGGAGGCACCAATTTCTGTAGACTTAGAGAATATCAAAGTTTTCTTTCCAGTTGCAGAGTCATAATTCCAGTACATACAGTCAGCATTCACTTCTGCAAACACAAATGGGCCATCGTAGTCCAGCTCTACTTCTCCTTCTTTGATGGCATGCCGTGAGGCAGGACCACACTGATAAATTCCTACAGCATCAAGGAAAAGGAATTTAGGCATAATCTTTGACAGTAAGCAGATTATTAGACAGATATTTATCACTGACTCCTCAATTGCCCTGTGCTGCTGTCCTGTTCAAGCCCTTTCATTCACATAAACCCTCATACAAGGTCACTCATCAATGTATCTTGTGTTTATTCTGAAAGTACACTTGATTTATTTTATATTTTCCCTCAATTTTTAATAGCATTTGATACCTACATTAGAAATATAGGAATTGCTGTAAAAACTGCTCCTGGAATTCTAGTTTCTTTCTTGGCATCCACAGATGATCTGAAGCTTTTCTAATGCAACCAATGAAGTATTTTCTTCTGCAACTATTTCTGAGCAGGCTGACAAATTGCATTTTACAATGCTTTTACTTTTTTTCCTTCTCTCTAAAAGTGACTGACTTTATACATTTTCAGCATTAATCCTGAAATAAAATTTGTGTACCTCCACTTTCTTCTTGGGGAGTTGCATCCAGAACTTGCCATCCACTGTATGAGGGGCCCAAGTCGTTGCGTATAAACCAGCTTTCATTCCAGACATGGAAATTCCTGTGTGCAAAAATCAACTAAGTAAGCTACTAGTACATATTTATGGATTCCTGTCCACCTTCTTTAATCAGCTATCTTAGTTATGTGGATTAAATGTCTTTGTTTGCACAGTTCTTATCTGAGACTCACCACTTCTACCCTCACTACATTAACTAGAAAGGTGTTGAAAATTGCATTGTGGAATAAACATCAAGAGCAGAAAACATATTTGTGAAGTTATAAAAATGCCTTGAGCCTATTCTTCTCCAAAAGCTTTGAGCCCATACACTTCCTTAGTTTTAGCTTTAGATTTGCTTCTGGCAGAATGCTACAGTTCTACATGTCACATGTAGATAGAAAGGGTCCAGAACAAGAAGGGAAGTAAACAAGACAAGAAACTGAGGGACTACTTCTGCTCTTTGCTGAATGCAAGCTTGTTTGAACTGCATTTGATGCTTAATAGAGGCAGCACTTAAGTTACTTTCAGTGCAAATGATGTCACTGCAAGAAAGCTGGTTCTGTTGGACTTTTACAGTTTAACGGGAACTGGTTCTGAAGAATAGTTTCAAACTAGGTTAAGTTGCCACTGCTTGATACATGTAGTGCAATACTTGATGCTTAATAGAGGCAGCAGTTACTTTCAGTGCAAATGATGTCACTGCAAGAAAGCTGGTTCTGTTGGACTTTTACAGTTTAACGTGAAAAGGTTCTGAAGAATAATTTCAAACTAGGTTAAGTTGCCACTGTTTGATACATGTAGTGAAATATTGCAAATTTTCAGCCATCTGTGGCATCATAACTGTAATTTTGCCTGCCCTGGCTTCAATTAGCTGTTGTAGTTAGTGTCACAGTTCTTTGTTTAACTGAGAAAGAGTGAAAACACCAAGTCTTGTAGTATTATTCTGTAGTATTTTTTATTGATCCACTCTGTGTGTGTAGTAGTTTTTAAGGCAATTCTTAAGAAGATAAAACATTTGTCATTAGAATCTATGCTCTGGAGACACTGTAGACACTGATAAGCTCTACTATTAAATATTGAGGCTTACCACACGCTATCAGCTCCCCTCTCCAAATGATTTCCATCTGCATCATAAAACTCATCCACACGCAGATTTCCATCTGCATCATGGGCAGAACTGAAGTTTGTAATTGTACGAGTGGGAATCCCCAGACATCTAAGCACTAAAGAGTGAAGAGAAAGCCACAGTCAGAAAGCAATATTTCTGCAGGTTTCATATAGCATGGTAACGTCTTCAAAGGCTTCCATATAGGAAGTAATATTAGTGCTTCTTTTAATGGAATCTGTGCAATGTCAGTCATGTGTGTGACATAAAACATACCTGTAGTCAGTACTGCTGCAAAAACCCAACATTGTCCATATTTAACAGGTTTGAATCCTGATTTCTTCCAGCTTTGCAGGATTTCACCACTTCCTGTCCAGCTGCTGGGATTTTTACCACCCTCATATTTTCCACTCCAGTTTCCTAGCACCACCCCTTGGTCATCATTGGCGTTGACCTGAGAAGATATTCACTAAATTTATGATGAGGTAAATTGAGAGTTTACAACCTGTCTGAAAGGCCTAGGAGTTACAGCAAATGCCATATTGAATTTGAGCCAATAGTGCTCTCTCATCAAAAAGGGAAAGCTCACAGTAGGCTGCACTGGGGAAAGTGTGACCAGGAGTTTGAGGGAGGCTGTTAACCCCCTTATATTATCCCTATCAAGGCTGTGCCAGGAGTCCTGTCTCTAGTTTTGGGTCTCTCAGTTCAAAGGGATGTTGAGACACTGAAGAGGAGCCAGGAGGGAGGGCTGCAAGATGGTCAGGGGTCCTGCTGCACACAATCTCCAGGGAGAAGTTGAGGCACTGTCCTAGTTCTGTCTGGTTGTGGAGGGTGCAGGTGATGTAAAACCAGCTTACAACCATTTGAATGTGTGTTCTAACTAATCTTTCTCTTTTATATACCAAGAGGCAACAGCAGAAAGCTGTAGCTTGGGAAAATAATATTTGATATAAGAGACAAATTCCTCATTAGGAGGGTAGGGCAGCTCTGGACTGGTCACCCACGGAGGCCACAAACCCTCCTTCCTTGGAGAGTTTCAAACCAGCCTGGCAAATCCATGGCTGAGCTGATCTAGTACCCAGTAGTTCCACTTCAAATGGATGGACTAAAGACCTCCAGTGAACTGATCCCTCAGCTACTCCTGTTTTATATTTTCAGTGTGACGACTGGATATCAAAGTGATAAGTATCAGAACGATCCCAGAGGAGATAAACCTGGCGGGCTCAGATCAGATGCCCATGTAGGCCCATACTTCACCATACAGACAGCGGCCTAAAATTTTCTATGAAGTGCCTTCATATTTACTTTCCCTGAGCACTTTTAAAGAACACTCAGTAGTTTGCACTTAGTGAAGCTGTTGCTTACCATGGCACTGAGAACACGGCCCAGGTACCTGGGGTCATGGCGGTGAGACACGTCTGTGATAGGATCCTGACGGTAGTACAGGCTGCGATCCATTATGGACAGGCAAATGTTGAGGATGTCTCCTTGAAACTGTGGCACAGAAAGAAACCAGTGTTTTGAAAACACAGATTACTAAAAATCAGGATGCAGATAGCCATATTAGTGTTGAATGAGGTTTTTAAATCACTGATTGAAGTGCTGCAGAGCTCAGCCAGGCATTACCTTGTAAAAATGTGGCCACAACAAACTCTGAACATCAGAACTCACAGAGCTTTTAAAAGCTTGGAATCTGTGGACTTGAGGCCTCTCAGAATTGCTACAGTACTTTACTAAGTTAAGGCTACGTAGTCTTACCAAAGATATCAATTAATATTATTTCTTCTGGCTGCTCTTCCAAGGCAGGACAGGGAGTAGTAAATTACAAATCCTCATATTGATCAGTGAAACAGGGCTTGGCACAAGTGCTGATTGCAACACCAGAGTCCTGCTCTTCAGAGATGTATGCAATGAACTGGAAAAAGCAAATGACCCAGTTCATACAAAAACAATGTCTGGTGTTTCAGTGCTACATTTACCTGGCCGAAGTTCCATCCAAAATTGCTGATATGATTTTTATTGCCTGCAAAAATGATGCCAAACTCTTCTAGCACATATTCCTCACACTCAGCCTTGTTAGGCATGAACACATCATCACCTGAAAAACCAAAACAGAGAGATGTACAAATATGACAGGCAAAATAAACCAAAACCTCAGGAGTCTTGCTGTATAAGGCAAGATCTCTCTTGATCTATAAGGGTGCTTGCAGATATCCACCCTTTGCTGTTCTTGGTGCTATAAACAGATTGTGAAACTCGGGATCTACAATTAGAGAAAGGGGTGGGAGGTGTCTGAGTGAAGATGGAGGTGTGACACTGCCAAATCTGTGAGAAAATGGTAAATATGACTCCTTTCTTGGTTCTACAGAGGCCAGACACACTCTTCTAAACTTTTGCAGAAGTAGGGGTGCTCTGTCAAAAGCAGAACCTTATCTTTTAGAGCAATGAACTCTTTAGTATGTACATACTACAGGGCTGATGTACCAGAAGACCCTAAGAAACTGTTAGACTCTTCTTTTTCATTACTGATCCATTCTGTTGTCAATTTTCAGCTGCTATATTAAAGTGTAGATCAAATGGAAAAGCTGCAAATATTAATGAATCTAAAAGCAACATAGCTCTTTAGAGGAAATTCGACATATTCATACCTGAAGACCAAGGGTTAAAAAGCAAAACAAAAGTGCCAAGATTTTGTGGAGAGGAGCTGCCACTTTGAACACTCAGCCTGTAACGTCCAATGACAGCATTGTGTGGGCTGGAAATGGAGATGCTCACAGAGTTGGAGCTGCTGGACTGCAGAACTGCACTCCAGCCCTCCTTGCTCGCTGTGCTGGAGATATCAAACGTGGCCAGGGTCCTGGTGGTCTTTGAGGGTTTTGGACCTTTCAAGAAAAACAAATAATTTTTTTTTTCCATGCCATGCTGAAATATAGATTTAGTCATCAATGAACTCAGCAGGGATGTAACCCTCCCAACCCTCCCCTCAGGTGAATTTGTGCCAGATATTGGCAACTGAAGGAAGCTGTGGCTGGTGGCTAAAATTGCAGTAATACAACAAACACCTCAACAGTTCCATGGCTGTGTGAATGAGCACATTGGCTCTGTCATTTATTCCTTTGCTGCTCTGTAGTGCAGATTGGGCCAGAAGAATGTCCCGAGGCAGCATTACTCTCCCTGTGAAAGAAGCTGGGGGCCATACCTGTTTCTGCAATGAATATTAAGTTTTGCTCAGGCCGTTCTGTTCCATTGAAGGTGAGAGTGAAAGCCTGTCCTCTCCTCACAATCAGTTCTTCACTGGAAAATTTACTTGTGTGGTGTTCTCTTGCATTTTCTTTCAGGTGCCAGTCTGTACTTGGCTGCGTTGCAGCTATGAAAAAATGAGATGAGCAAAAAAGCTTGAGAATACATCCAAAGAAGAAGGAAGAGAAACACACTCTGAAGAATTTGAAGAATTGCTTATTACTTTCTACAGGTAACTGGTATCCATGTAAGGCTTCCACCAAAATTAGAAATAATTTATATGTGAGCATTTTTTTAAGAGACTCCATCTTGCATAGGTTGTTAGAGGTTATCTACATAATTAAATATAGAAGCAGTAGTATACAGGGCACTAAAGATATACCCTGTACTAAATTAAAATCAGAAAGGCATGCAAGAGGAGAGAAACCTGAGAGAATTGAATATTTATGAGTTGCTTAGATAAAAATCTGTCTGAACTCTATTAATTCTTCCATTTTGAGATGGTGTCACCCTAAGAGAGGCACAGCCTTGCTGCCTCTGAATGAGAAATAAAGAAACCTGACTGAGCTGAGAAACCCTGTGAATTTTAAGCCATGACGTGGTCTCCAGCCCCATTATGTGTCACACAGCTGCCACTGTTGGAAGCACCTAAGAGGAACATGCTGATGGACACTGGGCTGTCATTTGGCAGTGGGAGAGATGGCAGAATTGGGGAGAGAACACTCCTAAAATCTGCTTTGGGATGCTCTTGCATGAGAACTGTGGCTTCAGTCAGGGGTCAGAGAATAAAGATCCAAGACTGACTTGGATCTGACATCATCAGAGCCTGTGGAGGGATTCCTAGTAGGAGATGGCTTGATGGTTTAATGGCTTCATTATGGGTTCATCAATGGCTTGATGAAGTGCAGAAGTACAGAATAATTTGGGATGCTCTTGCATGAGAACTGAGGCTTCAGTCAGGGGTCAGAGAATAAAGATCCAAGACTGACTTGGATCTGACATCATCAGAGCCTGTGGAGGGATTTCTAGTAGGAGATGGCTTGATGGTTTAAATGAAGTGCAGAAGTACAGAATAGAAAGAATTTTTCTTCCCCTGTGAAGAGGGAGATAGGAAAGAGTAAGTGTGTGGTGCTTAGGAGTGGAAAATTGTTACCCTGTGTCATTATTGAATAAAAAAATCATCATCCCATGTTCAACCAAATTTCTTAATCTGAAAAATCTTAGTCTTTCTAAATCTTAAAAAAAAGATTTTTTTACAGCGTGATCTTAAATTTATCAAGTTCATACAAGCCTTGAAATAACTACATTGGTAGTTTTAGCAATGCAGTCACTGTCCAAATGTAGAGGAACGTGGGTTTTTTACAGTATTGAGGTGAGAAACATGGATGATTTTTCAAGGAACATACCTACTATTAAAAAAAATCCTCAGAAACTTAGCAATGAAGCACATCTATTGTACAACGAGCTGAGGGCTCAGGGAGTTTTGCCTTTAGAAAGGCAGGAGTTGAAAAAGCAACATGAGACCCTTTATAATCATTATTAAACTGGTCTGTTTGCATATCTATAAATATTAGCACGTGAGCAAAAACCGCACACTGCTAAAGTTCTAGCAACAAAGAAACTGCCAAAAAAAACCCCAAGCCCCCCAATTTTTTGTATCCTCTCTGCTTTGGTTTCTGAAACCTTTGCAATTATACATTCCCAAAGTTCTGCTTTGCTTCTTTCTCTTATGTCAGATCTGGCAGTCTGTCATTTGCACTTTTTTGAAAGCTCCAAATAGCTGCAGGTTTTCCCTTCCTATTGGTAAAATATAACATTTTTATGTCAGTTAAATACCTGGGCTGCCAAATCTCATTCTGACAAAGCTTGCTTTTCCCATGCACACAATAAAGGAAAAAATGCAATTCCTGTGAAAATCCTTCTGACTCAATGGAAGAATTTACTATTTTTTTTTTTTCTTGGATCAAAACTCCTTAGAGAAGTAGTGACCTCTCAGTGTCCATGACAGAGCTGCACATGAAGTATGGATGTAAGAAGGTAACAAAGAGCACCACAGGATGGGCTTTCCCCTTGCTCACCTTGGCCCATATCTGATCAGTGTGTCCTCTGTAGCTTCCTCTGAAAGGTCTCCTGTACTTCTGCTGGCTCAAGGAATGAATTCCTTTGGTGCCTTTCACTTCTTTAAACTCTGTTTGCAATATTTCCTCAGGGGGTGGAGCTCGAGTAGCTGTCTTTGCCCCCAGCCTTGATCTGACCAGTGGGGCTTGAGGATTCATTTTTCATTCATTTTTTTCCTCCCTCAGTCCTCATGTCCTCATCTTGTTTCCTTGAAACCTAACATCTGAAGCTTGGATAATCTTTATTCCTAACAGTCTGGGTACTTGTTAAGAGTTTCTTAATATATTTAAAATTATAAGAACTTTAGCATTTAGCTGCTTTTCTTTCTGTTGTATTGTTAAAGTTCTAGGAACAGCATAACTCCTTCTTGCAAAACACTATTCCTAATTTTAAATACTCCATGAGCAATACTTACAGGGACTTTTTCTTTAATTCCCTAAATTGGTTGTTTTGGAGCTGCTTTTTTCCCTTCCCTGCATTGTAGTAACTGCAAAACAATGGCCAAGCTATTGTCTCTGCCCCAGCTCCAATCAGGGCCAAATTAAAAGAACAAATTTTTCATTTATCACATAATTTCTGTTTAACCCAGTTCAATAGACAAGCACTCCATGCCATATTTGCATGATACACTATAGTGACAACAGGTAAGTATATTTGTGACTTGTGATAAAATATCTATCATTGCTTTCAGCTGGTGCTCTACTATTTTTCATAATACATCTCTGACCATGCTACTGGCAAAACCAATTTATGCCCAAAAATCTTCCACTTAACTTCAAGGAAAGTAAATTTTGCTTATGCTTTGCAGGTGGCTCCACTTTGTGTTAAGAAAGAGACAGACTAATTCAGATACTTTTATGAAACAACCTGTAAAATTTGATGAACACAATGCACACCTTATTCATCATTTTAGTTGGCTGGGCTCAGGGTTCAGTAGCCAAATGTTCTGTTTTCTGGTTTGGATCATGTTTGGAACATCCAGAATTGGAGCTTGCTCAACCCATTTCTTATACAGACATGTTTTATTCATGTTTCTTATAAATGGTGTTGTTAGAACAAACAGTTTTTAACTGGCTATAATTTAGACTGCTACTTTGACACTCTCTTCACTAATTATATTAATCTTAACAGGGACCGTAGTTTTATAGCTTGCAAAGCCCAACTGTGATTTTAAAGTGATAAGACTAATCCCTAAATTTAAAATGTTTTAGAATTTTATTAGAGTTTTTTGATGTTAAGACACACTCTCCTATCCATACTTTTAAATACTGTTAAATGTCACACAAACAATTTGCAGAATAAATTTAAGTTTTCAGCCTATCCTTGGATACACAGCAATTTTCCTTTGACAGGAAGGTTAGTTACTGTTGAAAGAGAAAGAACAGCAGTCCATTTATGCTGGCAGACAGTATGTCAGGAAGAACAAGTTGTGGCTGTTGTGTCAGCTTCTGGTGTTTATTCCCAGCTCTGCCTAAGTTGCCTTGCAGGCCTCTGGTGTGCTTTGTTTGTAAAACAGATGAATGATACATACTGGACCTTTGGATTAAAGATTATGGACAAAGGTTGAGAATGAGGGCAAAATTAATGAGAAATATTAACACTAGTCAGAACATGCAGTCGGTCAAGCACAATGCATCTGACCCAAGCAGTGTTTCAGGGCTTGAATGGTGGCTGTAAATGTAGGGCCTGCACAGGCAGGAGCTTGAAACCCTGTGGATAGCAACATTCTCTTGGACTTCAGCAAACTGAAGCTATGAACCACATTAGTATATTTTTCATGTTCCCAGAAGGAGGTGTATCAGAATCATCCTTTGCAGACTGGTCCAGTCATATCATTCATGACATCCTTTTCCAGTAATACCCAAATTTTTTCCCTAACCTCAGTAACTGTTAAAGCAATGAATATATGGGACTAAGAGTTTCAGCACTGAACAGCGAAGGACATATTTGGTAACAGGCAAATTCTCTTCAGTAAACTCCTTTCTCTTTCTCTTTCCAATGTTTTCTTTCACACCAACTCTATGTGAATCCTCAGCGATACTTGAATTTTATGAAATGTCACCTATTATTAATTGTGCTTTTGTTCAGGATGGGAAATTAGTACCTATAATAGTCTGTCTGCTCCTATCTTCTCTCTGAGCACAGCTCTTCTCTAACATATCCCCAAAGCACCATGCTGCAACCACATGGCCATGACTCACTGGGACCGCCTCAGTGGACTTGATGATCTTACAGCTCTTTCTCAACCTAAATTATTCTGATTCTCTGATTCAGTATCCTGAGAAGTCTGGGCTATTCTATCTCTTATCACATCCCGGGTTTGAATAATTAAGCAAGAAATTCCATCAGCAACCCCCACTCCTGCTATCCTAGATACAGGAATTCAAGTGCTTTTCTACAGCTGTGCTTTTTTTGTGACCCACTCTAGGGAGAGACCTGGAACACTGGTGTGGACTGACTCACAGCAGCACTTTTCAGGACTAGAACCACCTGACAGAGAATGGTCAGGCCTACATGGAAAAATATTTGGCCAAGATCTCTTCCGAGCCTTACATATTGTCCAAGACACTTCTCATTTTCTGTCTCTGTCTTCCACTCACACGCCTGAATAGCAGGGGCATTTGGAATAGAAGCCTGAAGCCTTCCTGAAGATCCTGACTGTTCCTGAAGTTTGCCAACAACCTTTCTTCCTTTGAAGACAGCAGAACTTGGCACAATCCCCTTCCATGCTGTCTGTGTAAGAAGGGTGTCCTGTTAGCTGGGCTCAGATCTCCTCTTGAGATCTCAGCTCGTTCCAGATGTGATGGCTTGTTCAGAAGGGAGGCTGACAGTGACATAATAGTGACATGCACTGATATGTGATCTTCAAAAACTCCCAAGGGACCAGGACACAGGAACAAGCCAAACTGGCAGTGCACAGACTGGGATGAACCTCTGCTGGACTCTCCTGACAGCTCCCACATCGTCACACAGCACCTATTATCTACAGCCTATGATATTTAAATGTATTTCCCTACCTCTCCCACTTATGCATGTATGTCTTCCACTGGAATGGAATAAAGGCGTTATTTTGAATTATTTTAACTTCCAGCTACTGCTGCACACTCATCACCCAGGAACAGCCCAGTGCAGGCTCCCATCAGTGCCCTGCTCTGCTGCTCTCTGAGGATCCAGGGTGCTGTCCCACTCTGCGGGCAGGCGCTCCCAGTGCTAATGCACAAACAAGATGCT